TCTCGGCATATCTATGAACACATACAGTGTTTCTTTGGGATCCCTTCACTAAGCACTCGAACAGACAAACCCAGGTCCCGGATCTCGCACAGCAGCTGCCAGCTCTGCCAGATTTGGTTCTGGTCTCTGGACTATGTGAAATGAGATGTCTGCAATTCTCACCAGTGAACTGAAAGACTGAAAATGAAAATCTAGCGTGCCCTCTTCTGCAGCCACTCGCTCCCCTCCCTGCCTCTGCTGCCTCCCCCGTGCCAGTTCTGCACCCCCAGGATTAGCATGGAGATGGATCCGAAGCAGAAGGAAGCAAGCAAGCTGCCAGGGGAAGATGCTCTTAGCTGTTCTGGTAATATCGGAGCCTTCTGAGATGCTGAAGTTAGCAAACACAGCAACGTGTGGACCAGGGAGAAGGCAGAGTGGAAGGAGGAGGACTTAACATTGCAAACCAGCCTCTGGTCACGAGGCTCCGTGAGCTCCCAAATCCCACAGAGGAGGCTCGACCCTCACCAGCATTAGAGGAAGCCAACTCCCTGTACATCCGTGGGATTTGAACCCCTGCGTCCCCCCTTCCAGGATTACCCTGCTGTTTGGGTTAAAGCATTGCTTGAAATCGTGTTTTGAAAACCACTTCACATCCACGCACCGTCACACGCTCCAGGTTTACAGGGAAATTACTGGACAGATGGAGTGTGTGACGGTGCAGGACAAGGCTCTGTCCCTCTCAAACACTTACAGGTCAGTGTAGCAAAGCCATAGCAACAAGAAAAGCGCTCGTGTTATTTCCCATCCAAGAGCAGCTCCTGCCATTCACTGATTGCATGACCCTCTGTCAGCAGTCATTGAAGCAACCTTTGAAAATGTTTCTGTATCGTTTAAACCTGGTTACTCGGCCCTGGACTGCGTCTGCCAAGGTAGCAGCAACATCTCCAGAGCAGAGAGCGAGTTTGGCATTTCATGGATTTCCTCTTTTAAAATCTTCATATTCCACCGGCCAGCAGTGGAAATCATGCCCAACAGTGTGGCATGAAAAATAAATCCAAGGCTGAGTTTCAATAAGACAGGAAAGATTGTCTGGAAAATGACTGCAATAAACTCGAATAACCAATCATTTAACAATGCTAGTATTTATCATTTGAAAATGAGGTGGAAGGATCATTATAGATAAATATCAAATATCTTCATTCCTTTTTGCTGCTAGATTGGGAAGGTCAGAAGTTCAGAGACGCTTTAATGCCTCAGTAGATACCCTGAAATGTGGCTAATTCGGCACTCGGTGGAAAGGGTAAGGGGCCTGATTTTTGTCACACGTGTGAGAATTGGTATAAAATGGGAATGAAGGAAGACTCACACACCAGAAGCTCCTGCATGTTCTAGTGAACCAAATTTACGCAATGTGGGTCACATTTGTTTTCCGTCATGCCAGAATAAATGTACTGACTCCAAGAAATACATTGAAATATATTCTGCAGGAACTCTTCATTTTGTGAGCAACCATGTAAAGAGCTCCTCTCCTGACTGTTTTTTGTCCCTAAGCGGAGATAAAATGCCTTCTCTAAGGTTCTTCTGGCTGTGCTTCCTTGTGGAGACACTGCTGCCCTAATACTGACGTGCCTAACAGCACTAATAAATTACAGTTACATGCACACTTTTTTTTCCTGAATAATGAAGTTAAAAGGCCACTTTGGCATAAATTCATTCATTGTTACTCCAAGTGAAGCAAGTTCCTCCTGGTGCTGCTGCATACAAATAATTGCTTTTGGCAAAAGCCAAGTTGAACACAAGTCCGTTGCTTAATTTATTTCTATTATCCCCATCAAATGTTAGTGAGTGCAAGGCAGTAAGGTGGCATGGCAGCAAAGCCAAACTAGAGGGACCAATACCGTTTTGTAAATGTGGATATATGAAAACCATGCAGCATATATTTGTGTAGTGCAAACAAATTTTAAAAGCTGGTTGTATTTTCTTCCTGTTTTCCATTTGTAGCAAAGTCAGGATTATTTCTATCATCTTTAGAGGACTTTTGCAGTTTGTAAACACCTGGAACCCCAACAGCTGCAACTCCCTAACCCTAAAGCTCCCTCCCTGGGGGAGGGAGAGCAGCAGCCCATGTTTCACAGCCCATGTTCCACAAAGACTGCCAGGATCCTCCAGGAAAAAAGGACGGTACTGTCGTGTTTCCAGTGCAAAGTGTGAAGAAGGAAAAAAATAGCAGGGGAATGCTTGGTGGAGGGAACTGAAGCCTAGTATTGATATTATTACACACATTTTCTTCACATAGACTTCAGCATTAGCAGCTCAGGAACAGCCAGGGCTGCATTAGGAGCGTGGCGCTTGTTTCCCCAAGGGAAGCCGGGGAGTATCCCGTTATCTCGGAACGGACGGCACCCAAGCCCCGCTGGATTTTCCCCACCGGGTCCAGCTACCTGTATCCTCTCCAGACTGTTGTTACCTCCAGATCTGATGGAAAGCTTTAATGCTTCAGGAGTCTGAGCAACAAGACTGATCTTTTGTTATTTTGCTCTCAGGAATCGGTTTCAGTAACACACTGAACGGCAAATTTTACTTCTTCCAAATAGTTTTTTCCCTTGGCTGCTACAGTTTGAAAAGCTTAGAAAGCTGCACTGCAACATACCGATGAGAGCTCAGGAAAAGAAAAACTTTAGAGGCAGGGAATAACATCAAGCCATTTGATTTATGATCTAAACCAACAACTGCTGGTTGCCTCAGCTGGTCCCTTTTTTGTTCCCGTATAACATATGCTTCTATTGCGATCTTAGCAAGCTTCAAGAGTATTCCTGTTAGCAGCACATTATATCTATCTATCTAGTGATAGCTCCAATGCAAACTGCTAAGCCGAAATTCAGGGTATACACTTCTCAAATCTCTAAATTACCAACCAAAATTGTCAAAACAAGCATCCCTAAGCATGCAGCTTCAAAACTCAAGATTCAGTACTAAAGCCTGCCAGCTTCTGGGGTATTTTTTATTATGAAAATAAGATCAAACCTCAAGTCCAGTTTTCTACCTGTAGAAACAGGGTACAGGAGTTTAATGAAGCTTCATAACACACTTCTCTTGAACAGAGCTTTGGAGCCAAGAGGAATTGGTAGAAAATGTATAAATGGTAACTAGACAAACCTCTTAGACCGTCCCTTTGTATACATCAAACTTAACTTGAAAGAACCGCCTCAAATGCTGAAAAGCACGGTTAGCCTTCATGGCCCACTGAGTCCTTAACCTTGGTGAAGAACAGGTTGGTAGTCACTGGTACGGACAAGGGTAGGGTCTGCAATCTCAACGCCTCTCTGCTAGGAGTTGCACCGAGACCCAGCAAACACTTTGCACAAGCCAAAGGCAGTTGGAATATGTCAGCTTTCGATCCTATTTATCCAAAAGTGGTCTTGAAGCAGCCATCAGATGCCACAAAGCAGCGCATCCATCCACTCCATGTCCCCAGCCCAGACCAGCCCAGACCAGCTCAGCCCAAATGAGCCCAGCTCAGCTCAGTTCAGCTCAGCCCAGCCCAGCCCAGCTCAGCTCAGCCCAACCCAGCCCAGCTCAGCTCAGCTCAGCCCAGCCCAGCCCAGCTCAGCTCAGCCCAACCCAGCCCAGCTCAGCTCAGCTCAGCCCAGCCCAGCCCAGCCCAGCCCAGCTCAGCCCAGCCCAGCCCAGCCCAGCTCTGCCCTGCCCTGCCCTGCGTGCCTGCTCACTCCCAAACCCTCACAGCCCAGCCCAGCCCAGCCCAGCCCAGCCCAGCCCAGCCCAGTCCAGCCCAGCCCAGCCCAGCCGCCCCCGGAGCTGTCCATAGTTCTACCGCCTGACCCAGCCCGAGCGCAAAACCTGGCACATCGCAGCCTTTCACGTTTCAAAAGCTGTAACATAACCTATTGCAAACAAAACCTTAAACCCGCTCAAGCGTCCAACATGCACAAAGGAAAAAAGCTCCAAAACACAGAAGTGCTTCCTGTCAGATGCCATTTTGTCCTCCAGCAAGAAGGCTTCACTGCTGAAGCGATGGTGGAGCTCTGTATCTCTTCAGCTCCTGACAGCAAACCCACATCTGGAGTTTTACACACTGGCAATGGATGCTCTAACCAATGTCCCGTTAGGGTGCTGCTAGGTAAGAGTACCCGCTGGGCACAACTTCACAGTTCAAGCTATCAGCAACGTTTTCCACCTCTGCACAATGCAAACCCTTTCACTTCTTGCGACTGGCAGTAATGTATGAGATCAGATTCAGGTTTCAGTGTGCTGGAAAGAAAATCCAGCACTGGCTTCCAGTGCAGATTGTGGGGAGCAAGTAAAACACACTTTTCTTTTTATAGACTGTTTCCATGGTGCACAGAGGTTCCCATAGCTAATTCTGCAGCTGCAGAACTTCAGAAAATTGCACAGCCTGGGTGTAATGTTGTGGCAGTCTGCCCCATCCATTCCCAAATCAAAATCCAGTGGCTTAACACTCTCATCAAACAACTGAGCCTTCTCCCACTTGGACACGAGAGCGGAGTGGCTGCAGTGGAACTTCCTCAAGTTGCCGATCAGTTTAAGAGAGCACCTGAGCAAACGAAGCAGGGTCTGGGTTTCAGCCTCTGTCTGCTAAAGCTCCCAGGCAATTAGGAGGAGGTAAAGAAACAAATTCCTATTTGCCATATTTATTTTTAAGACAATTTCTTAGAAGAACTGTAGGTCTAAAGAACAAGCAGACTGTTATAAGCAATAACTGCATCAACTCCATCTCTGCTCCTCTCCACTGACACGGTGCTGAAGTAGCCCTGTTTGCTTTCCCTGAGACAGAAGATCAGAGGCGCGCTGCCCTCCCAGCTTCCATGCACCGACACTCACTGTACTCGGTCAGAGCCTGACCCACCTGGACAAACCGGCCATTTCCGAAAGCATCCTCCAAAAATTGATGTGCCACGCACCAGTCACCCCCTTCACCCCTTCAGCACGGGCAGAAACCCGCTCTGCACCTCGCACTGCCCTGCGCCCGGAGCGCAACTCACCTGTTCCTGTGAATTCATTACCCGCAGCTTCATTTGCTTCAGATAAGTAGAGGTGAGGGGCATGTTGTAGTCAATGATCCCAGAAACCAAAGAGGAAGGTGGTTCGCTCTCTGAAGAACAGAGGAAAAACTTTATTTAGATACAGGGATGTGGAAGCACAAACCTATGATGTGTTCTCATAATCGTTAAACATAGGTATTTAGAAGCACTTCAAATCCCTAGCGAGAGCTGGTGCCCGCTGAGCTAAGGTTCCTATAAGAACATGACCCCACCAAGAACATAATTACAGAACAGATGTTGTTTTGCAAAAAAAAAAAGCATTGCTGTCACCTGCAGAAAAGACCACACATAATATATAATTTTTCAGTCTACCAAACTAGAGTGTAGCAGAGGAAGAAACCAAGTCTTGCCGATGCCTCAGAAGCACTTCCATGCAAATGGGATTTATGCAGAGGTTGATGAACAAGACTATATTTGCAGCTTGCTTTAGCATTGCAAAGTCTTGCCAATTTTGCTGGGATTCCCTCAGGTAGGAGTTAACGTTAAGGCAACTTATTAAGTATTTCTATCTGGTGATGAAGATTATTTTTAACACCCTCATTAAAACACAAACTTAATTTTAAAAATCTTTAATTTAAATTGTTCCTGTTGATTCCTCTGGCTGCATCATATTGAGCTCTAGAGATCACTCTAGTTTCAGACCGCTCCTCCAGATCATTTTGTCTAGCCAGACCAGAAAAGTCCCCATAAAACAAATTCTCAATGATTTTTCTGAATTCTCAAATATTTGTCAGCTCTGCCATCACCTGGAAAGTGAGCTTAAGCAACAACGGACGGGGAAGAAGGATTTCCAGGAGCTGAAGGTGAACCGATGGTGGGAGGTTTGCATTCCTGTCTCTGCACCTCCCTGGCTGGCTTGCATTTTCTGGGGTCACTGGTTTCACAGGCACCTCTGACACAGCCCCTTGAAAAAAGAGCCTTCACAAAATGTTTTACAGCACCTTAGAAAACCCATCAACCCAAACATAATGGGCCTGCTTTTCAGAAATGCTGAATATCAAAAAATCCCAGTGAAACTCAGCAGACCTGAAGATGCTTCACACCTCCGGAAATATCAGATCTATCATGTCTGATTAAGAAATGACCTGACCCCAAAACTGTCTGTAACTGACTTAAACGTCACATAGGTTTTGCAAATCCTCTGTATCAACAGCCTACTTAGGGTCCATGGAAATACAATGATTTTTTCCCAGGTCCATCCAATTCATCCCCAGGCAGCTGAAGCATTCCTGCCTGTGGATGCGGTAAAAGGTGGCCAGAGCTACTCAGGCCATCACCTCCCTCAAATATGAAGGTGCAAAGCTTTTAGGAACCTTGTAAACTAATTCCTCCTTTCTTTTCTCATGGCTGTATATCACTGGTCTCTGTCATGCTTCGACCTATAGATTAATTAAGAGCACTTCTATGCCTCTATATATTAAGCACCCAAAATAACCCATTATTCTACTGTGCAAGGTTGTTATCTTGTGATAAAAAGATGCTAAAATCCCAGTGCAAGGGGTGCTTCTCGCAGTCCGGTTCTGCAGTGAAAGGAGAAACAGCTCCCAGGAACAAAATCCGCCACCTACCCAGGTTGGCTGGAGTCATCAGTATCTGAGTCTTTAAGAAGAGTTTAGGAAAGCATTTGCTAAGAGTAACAAAGATAGAGCTGCTCTTTCCTTGAAGCACAGGTGTGGATGAGGTGAGTCTTTCAGTCCTCTGAGGATGATATGTCGCTCTCCTGCCACCCCCCCTGCTTAATAGTTCAGCGCTGCAGAAATGAATGAGGCTCAACAGAAGCTCAGCATCCTCACAGGGGGAGGAAGAGGGAGGTAGATGATCTTTGGTGCTTAGATTCTGCCTGAAACCATCCTGATGTAAATCTGGAATAATCCCATTAGCAGCCACAAATTTACTGTGAATTTGTGCAACTGCAACAGATAAGAGCTTGAGCCTAAGAAACCAAAACCTTTTTTTTTAAGCTAACTGGAAAAGAAAGAAAACCTTTGTTTTAAAAGGCCTGGGGGACTCCACGGGAACAATCCTCATATCCTACGTCACAAGAGGGGGCTACTGGAATCCTTTAGCTCATTTTTCAAAAAGTTATCTGTATCACATGCCCCATGTGTTTGACACACAGATGGAACAGGCAGAATGGTTTAAAGTAAAATGGTTTCAATCCTAATTCCACTCTTGTATAACTCCACTGGAATTAGTCCTAATTTAGTAACAGTGTAAAGAGACCACAGCGAAGTCCAGTGATGTTCAAAGTTTCCCATGAGCAAGACAATTTGCTTTGATGAATTATGTGGGTGCCCTGCAGGGTTTGATGTCAGATACGTTTAATTAGGGATTTTTATGATCACAAATGAAATGTGTTGAGATTTGTTTAACAGACAAGAGAAGTAGGAAGAGATGGGAATGACTCAAATTTTTTCATCCTACTGAGTTAAACTTTACCTATATATGCTTGTATATGTGTATGCATGTGCATACACCTAGGTAATTCTTCTATGACCCCAATGGTTTTTTAGGTGATTTGCTCCCGATAAATGCCTGAATATGTATTAGTGAAATCAGACACTCTTCCCCGGTAAAAGTTACCTTATCTAATCTACTCCATGCATTTTCACAGGTACTTAGTCACTATTTAGGTACTATTCAGAGCAAAAAGGCACTTCTGTCCTTCCATTCCTGGTGGGTACGAGCAGGACTTTTTATGTGCGGGATCCTTTGTTTTCCCGTTTGATTAATTTTTAAGAGAACTGGTAAGGGGGAAAGCTTTATGAAAATAACTTATAATTTATATTAAATTAGAAATTTGCTCAGGACAGCCAGATCTCAGCCCTGATCATGGTTTCCACAGCTAGGACTGCTCTGGGGAGGATACTCAGCACTTGGTGTTCTCTGAGCTGCCTCTGAGCCGGGACGGGTGCCGTGTCACTGGGGGAGGCACGGGAGACGCGGGGATGGTGGGTGGGCAAGAGGGAGCCCCTGAAGGAACAATGACCCTTTTCATCAGCTGCCTCCTGAAAAGGGATCTCGAGCTCTGGGGCAGACTGCTCGGCTAGTGCCAGGCGTTTAGTAAAGTGTCCCATTTTGGGTCAAGCCAACAGGTGATGTCCTTGTTGGCCTGACTCTCATCCCATCGCCCTTCCCGCCCACTGAGCCGACTGCTGCAGCCACAGTACTTGGAACGTCACTGGTGATGGATGCGGCGCAACCACTGTAAAGGTCAGGTTTGCTCCCAGTGAGGCCAAAGACCAAAACTTCTCTTGACCTAATTGAAAAGAGGGATCGGGCCCTTAGCCGGCAGGGTGGCAAGTGCCGCAGTAATGGAGCTTAGGCTAATAAATGTCACAGAGGATTATTTGGAAGAGTTTCTAAAAAATATAACAAGCACTTCAGTCACTAGCTTTGGATAGCTGGCACACATAATCCACTTAAACGGAACCTCTGGGCTGTCCACAGCTCTGTTTGTAGCAGTAAACAGCCAGAAATCAGTATTTAATACTAGAAATTTTCTGTTGTTGGGTCCTTTGTTCATTTAATTCTGCTTCTCTGCTTGATAAGAGCTGCCAAATGAGCCTGTTTGCCTTAACAGTTTTGAAATAGTCTAACTCTGCAGTTTGCTTATGTTTTTTCAAAGAACCGATTTTGTTGGGTGAAACCTCTCAGAGTCAGTTTGATGCTTTGCACTTGATCATGAAAACAAGTTTGTAATTCAGAAAAAAACACAGAAACATCAACTTTAACCATTTACTCTGGAAGAAAACCTGGTCCCATCTTATGCTCTGCTTATATCTTTTAGGCCTGGGAGCTGCAGATTGGTTCCGTTTACAAAAGAACCATAATGAGCCAACCACCACAATGGCCACGCTAATTGGTTGTATACATAGGCATAATATAACTTTGATTATCAAAACACTTTCCATTATCAAAAATAGGATCATGACGCGCATATCTATTAATTACTGCAGATTACTTCTTTATCAGAAACTTCAGTTATTCAGACCTATTCAGTGTCTTTCATTACAAATTTAATAGTTTAAAGGAAAAACTTTAGGTCACGTTTTTTCAGAAATCTAAGTTTCCACCCACACACAATTATGGGTTGATTGCAGACATATCTGAAGTATTTCTGACCCAAGTTTTGTACGGTTGCACTGGGAAAGGTGGACTGAGAAGTGAAACTGCCTGCCTGCTCGGAAAGAAAGCTAGGCTGCTTCTGTTCTCTAAGCTAAAAACAGTGATGGACAAACCAGATTTAAGCAATTCTTTCAGCTTGGCTATAAAAATGCATGAAAAATAACACAGGTTAGGAAAAGCATTTGGTAAAGAAGTATCCCATCGGCGGGGCAGTATCCTGACAGCTATCAGTGATACCATGCTGGTGCGAAATGCTGTGTCAGCTCTGCTGGCAGAATTCATTCACCTTTACCTTTGGGCTCCAGTCCGTTGGAGTTGAAATGCATCCTCTTCTGGCACTCAGTGCAACTCATCAGGAACCTGGTCACAGCTTCTCTCGGAAGAAAAGCATAGGTCTCTGCAATCTGGGAAAAGAACAAAGACGGCTGTATGTCCTGGGCGAGCGAGAATGCCTAACGGAGAGCCGGGCGGAGGGCGCGGGAGACCACAGGCACCCTCCCACCTCGCCGGCTCAGCCTAGCCAAGAACATCAACGACTCACAGCAACACACCGTTTCTGTCAGCCTGGTCCTGGGATCCCTGAATCCCTCCCTCCAGAGCAACTGTTGATGGAGGAACATTTTTGGAGGGTAATTCGTGTGTCAGAGAGGCACCGAGATGCAAACGAACAGACCTTTGGACTCCCTGCGTAGCCACTCCTTCCCAGAAACTCCCTTCCATTCTCCCTCGGAGTCTGGGAAGAGCGAAACTACGAATGTGTAAGAATCAAACGAGAAAGTAAGGTCTCGTCAGCTCTGTTTGCATTGTTAATTATCATCACACCAGTAACCTGAAGAATCCATTAATCTTTTGTAAGGGCAGGTCACTTTTTCCCACAATGACAATCAATTACTGTTAATACTTTGCACTTCTGTGACATATTTTATCTAGGGAATTGAAAACATTTTTACAAACAGTAATGAATTAAGTCTCCTGAACCTTTGTGGGATATTTGTATTTTACAGATGAGGAAAAGCTAAGGATAAATATTTAAAACTTGGATGCCTGAAGTTAAACACTGTATCCAGACCTAAGCACCCACAGAAGGTGCCTGGCTATCATAGAGTCCTATTATTCCAATTAATCCCTGCCGGCAGCAATTTTTCAGTGTTTCTAAAGATCAAGACTAGGTTGTTTGGAGAAGGAATGAGGCAATTTTAATGTAGATTTCTTTAAGGCTGTAAGAGACCATCAAATCATGGAGTCTGACCCTCTGTGTAGCACAAGTCAGGGAACTTCACCCAGGTTCTCCTGCAGCCCAGTAGCCTGTGGTTTGCCTAAAACATCTTCCAGGAAGACATCTGGTCTTAATTGGAAGGCATTAAGAGGTGGAGAGCCCAACTCTTACTTTGGGGTTGGTTCCTACGGTTAATCACCCATCCTGTTTGGTCTAAGTGACTTGTCCTAGCACGGCGGTTCCCAAACCAGGGGCCGTGACCCCAGCAGGGGTCACAGCACTTACAAGTGGGGTCATAAAGCAGACAGAAATTCAATTGTTTGTGCCAGTCCTCAGGGCTGTGAGCCCGGCAGAAGTGGGGCTCATAACGGGAAGCAGGGCTGCAACCAGACACCTCGCGAGCGACGGCTGGTGACGGGGGCCGAGCCAGGAGGGCAGCCCAGGATGTCCTGATCCCCCTCCTCTGGCCAGTGGGCATCACCCTCCCACCTTATTTTGTTAATAAAAATTAAAAACACCTAAATGCCAAGCATTTTTCTATCCTACAGGAAAGGGTGATGCTTAAGCTTGGAATAAAATAACAATATAGAAGAAGTGCAATGGGGCAGAGGGCAGAGGGTTTGCTTGATCATGGCTAAAGCAGCCCCGTGACCCGACGTTGCAGTGGGAGGGAAAGACATTTATCTCCACTGAGCGGCAGCAGAGCCCGAGGTTTTGCATGCACGCTAATGCCAGATGGGTGGAAAGTTCAGGCAAGGGACCTTGTCCCAGCCGTTCAAATGGAGGATGCAGTGCCTGGTCCTCATGGGATTCTCCTATTTAGCTACAGCCCCATCGAGCTCTGTTGTGACTAAGCGGCTGCCCAGCTCAGCCTTTGCCTCTGTGCGGTATTTATCAATGCACAAGCACTAGGGACTCCCACAGAAACACTGAAATTAGGGGCCTGAAAATTGCTGGTGGCAAACGTGGTATTGTGGTGCAGGCAGGGAACTGTCCCTTCATGCTGCCCGCGGGGCTGAGCCCAGTTTCCCTGCCTCTTTTGCTCCAGCAAGCCCATGGTCTCCGCTGCAAATGTTCAGCTAATTTTAGTGATACAGTTGTTATTTCTCAGCTGATTTGATGCTCTGCAGAGCAGACAGCTTCCTTGATGAGTTATCTCCCATCCAAACTCCCTTTCTGATTGCCTCCCTCCGGAGGTCACAGACAAGGGCAAACTCTCCAGTGCCTCTAATCAGAAACGGTGGGGAAAGGGAGAGGGAGAGAAACAGCAGGGGACACTGAAGCCTCCCGAGCTGACTGCCCAGCAGCGTCCCTTTGTGCACCCGAGCCACGGCGCGGGGTGCGCTATGCAGCATTTCACCTTCCAGACCCGGCTGCAAAGGCGCTCCAGGGAGACAGGGCATGAGCAAGGCCAGCCAGCCCAGCCAGCAGCGTCCTGCCAGGTCAGGAGGGGATACACACTGCTAATGTGATGATCTCAGCTCAAGAGGGAGACGGAGGGGTGGAGCGTGAAGCTCTCTGACTGCTGCGAGCAGGCCTGGCAAAACAGACGGATCCAGCCTGCTCCCCCGAGGCTGTGCAGGGCACAGATTAGTCCTCCAGAGAGCTGAATTGAAGGAATTAGGGGAGGGTCGGAGTGGTCTGCTGGGGAAATGAGTGGAAAGTTTTTAAATTGTGGTCATGCTGCTGGGGCTGCCCCCCCCCGACTATAAAGAGGTCACCTGCCCCTGGCCAGGGAGGGTCAGCGTGTGCCCCGGCCCCGTGCTCTGCCGCAGGGGCTGGAGTTGAGCATGCAGGGCACGGAGCGATGCCACGAGCGGTGAGCACAGAGCCCTGCTCCCCGGGGGCTCCCACCGCACAAGGGGGGCTGCAGGGCACTGGGCTGCCCCTCCGGCACCAGTGCGCAGAGCTACTGATGGGCTGGGGACATAGGCAGGCAGGACAGGCAGGACAGACTCCACCCCTGAGCCGGCTCCAGCAGCACACTGAGCCCAGCGTAATCTCAGGCATCATCGCAGAGACCAGGGCAGCCTGCACAGACCTCTCCAAGATGATGTATACACCAGAGACACGAGCTGCCAGCCAGCCACTTCTGTCTCTAAGCGACCTGGTCCTCAGGGCTGTGCGATTCAAGGGAGTAGCTCGGTTTTGGACAGTAAATTCAGCTCTTCTTGTAAGAGCGAGAGCCCAAATGTTTGCATCGAAGGGCTGTGCAGAGTCAGGAGAAACAGCAAGCTCCCTGGAGAAGCACACTTCAAGCTAAATTATTCCTGACCTAACTAGAGTGGTTTCAGGATGGATAGAGCTGGTTCTCACATCCATGGAGCACCTGACGAGACTTAGCTCGGTGCCTGCCTCCATTTTGTAACAGAGGAAACCCAGGATGGGCTGGTGAGAGGATCAACTCGGCCAGGGAAGAGGGGCAGGCTCCGGCCGTGCTCCAGTCCCCTTTCCGGCTGCTCCTGCCCTTCAAGGCCCACGCGAGACATTTCCCTCCGGCCAAGGGAGACAGGGAGGCAGATGGCACGGAGCAGAGTGCACAGGGGACTGGGCAAACATCCCCTCGCCCGTCAGTAATACTGAGTATGTCTCTTTTTCTTTTTTTTCCCCCCAGACATGTACAGTTGTCTTTGTATGATTCACTTTGTCCTTCCTCTCCAAGCAGCCATACCGTTGTGCTGTACCGTTGTGCTGCCCCTGCAGCCCAGTTTCCCGTTGCCCGAGCACAGCTGCTCTGCCTTTAAACAGCTCCTTTCTCACGCCTCCCCGCACAGGCAAACAGGACTCTCCTTTGCCTCTGCCTCCCGCCAGCGGCTCTGCTTCTACCTGCCCTCCCATCCCCATCCCCGCGGGATGCCCACTCCCATGGCCCCTCTTCCCCTTCGCTCCCGTCCCCTCGCTGCCCAGGGCACGCGAAGGGGGAGTCTCACCGCTCGGTAGGTTTTCTTCTGCCCGGCATGTTTGGGTGCTTTGCCCGGCTCCGACGAGCTCTCCACATGCATCGAGTATATGATGTCAAAGAAATCTTCCACCACAGCCACGCGTTTCAGAGAGATGCCCTCGGGCTCCGACAGTCCATCTGCCCCCTACAACAGTGCAGGCAAGTTGAGTTAGTGTCAGCAATGGGTGACGGGGGTGACAAGATCGGCCCGGGGCTAATGCGGTTGGAGGGGCCAGAGTCGTGGTGCTCCAGCCCCGGGCTGCTGTGGGCACGGGGGATGTGGGGGATAAATTAAACAGTGCTCCAGGGAGGATCCTGCTGTAGCCAGGGCAGTGGTGGCTGCTGCTGTTGTGCTGCAAAGCTGCCAGTGAAATTGGGCCAGGAACAAAAACAAGGGAACAGTCCAGAGTGGAGTCACAACCAATTGAGAAATTCAATTTTCATAATTTGGGATGATTTCGCTAGGAGGGAAACAGGCAGAGGAAGCTCTTTGGACCTGCACATGGTACTAAACCATCCTGGGAAGCCCCACAACGTGGGGCACCCTCGCTCTGGCTGCAGTCCCCATGGACACGGATCAGCCGGCAAGACAAGGTTCCACTGCGATGCCAGGATACGGCCCCTAAAGGAAGGAGACAGAATCGCCCTCCTTCCCTGCACTGACCTTTCCAAGGCACCCTCCCTCTCTCGCATACGCAGAGCAGCTGAGCGCTGGCAGCAGCAGCACAGCTCTTTGTGTGTGAGGATGTGCTGGAGAGCAGGAGGCAGTAATTCTGCCACACGGCAGTGGTGACAGACTGGTGGGAGTGGGAAGTGTGGGGAGCAGTGCTCCTCCGAGCTGACTGGCACCAACGGTGTCAGCTCACACTGGCAGGGTGCGCCGCGGGAAGGGGAGGCAGCCTTTGGTACCCGGCAGCTGCTAACGGCGCTCCGGCACAAAGCACCGGAGCGGGGAGTGCTAATAGGAGGTAGTCGGTGGCTGCTCTAATGGCTGGGGGTACTGAAAAAGGGCCAGGCTTCGGGAGGTCGCTTAGCTTTTTCCTTGAAAAAATGCCATTGTTGCATAGATAGCTGTCTATATATAAAAAAATACATATTATATATACATATACCACGTCCCTTTGAGGCCTGCTTTCCAAAAAGCTATGCATGGATGCCATCCAGCTGGTATACACCAGGCTGGTGAGCAGCAACCTGCACATCTAAATGACCTGCAAACTATCTTTTTCACATGCATTTACGCATCTGTGAGTGCAGGCAGAGGCTGGCAGAAGTCTCCTTGCAAAGGGAACACCCCATCTCCTAACCTTTATTTTTTGTTGTTATTAGTGGTTGGGCTCTGTGAATCTTATACGGTGTATAGACTGAATAAATGCTCTTCTTAAGCTACCAGTCAAGGGACTCTCAAATATCAAGCATTTAGAGGGACCGCCTTCAGCTAAAGACTACCCAACGTCTTGGGGAAGCAGTCTTTTAATGTAAAGTGCTGCCTATTAAAGTTGGCTCCTCACCCCAATTTCGGAACAGAGACTGCCTGTACTGGGCACGGACTGCAGTGGGATGGGCCGCTGTGCTCACCCGGGACACGGGCACGAGGATTTTCCAACACAAACCACCTCTGCCTTCCCCAGGGAGCCCTGAGCCGTATATAAAGGTGGCTGTAACAAAGACAATATTGAGAACGAACACAAGGGGCAGGGTGGCAGTGCTGCTGTGGTGGGGGTCGGGAAACTTCGCCCGAGGGAGTGTCTTTGAGGAATATAGATCTAATTTCTTCTGTCACCATTTGGGGAGTTTCACTTTAATCGAGGGCATGGGTATTCCCCTGCCAAGGAGGAGCGGGCATTAGGAGGCTTCCTACTGACCAATAATCCTCAGAGCAGGGTTGAAATGAGGATAATTACAGAAACAGGACAAAGGAAAATGCATCAGGAGAAAAGCACAGTCAGATGAAACAAGCAGAGCCCTCAAAATTAAGGTTGTAACCAACCCCCTACGCAAATCACTATTTCCAGGGCCATCCCAACCAACTAATACTCTCCTCCCTACACGGCCAGCGGTTCCCTATTTCCTCCTCCGTTTCAGAATGAATGCAGTTAAGGTAACCTCAGGGTCTGGGCATCGCTACAGCCTCTCTGCTCATCCAGCGCTGCCTTCCTCCCCACCCCGGCTGGATGCCAGATGCTTGAGCTGCCTCCTCGACATCCCATTCCCTGCAGCGACCCTCCCCTGACTCCTCGCGTCTCTCCATCCCCTCGTCAGCCATGTGACTTCTCTCCCCGTGATGCTTATTTAGCTCTGGGAAGCAGGTGAGATGCATGCGGTATCAAAGCCACTGGATATAAGAAGCTGTATCAAGTCAGTGCTTCTAGGATTACAGAGGTTTGTATCTGGCAATATAACCAAATTGACCTAGGATTTAAGAGGACACACGTGCGCTATAGACCTCTCAGAGTGCCCACGCCCCTCTGGTTCCTCCTTCCACACCCAGTATTGCTCACAAGTATTCAAGGCATGAGTCAGAGCCCATAATATCTCAGAACAGCTTAAAAACCCTTAGGTTTAAAAAGCAATAAAATTTCAGTTGGGAAGAAGGATGGGAATAAGGGATGCTTCTACCCCCTCCTGGTGTTGGGGCTTTATTTGGAAGTCACCTGCCCACAAAACACATAAAAGATTTCAGGAGCAAAGCTCAGCCTTGAGATAAGCGCTTGGAAGCGGGCGGCGTTTCAGGTGCTGAGGAGAGGAAGTCCCTCTGCCACCTTACAGGCACCCCACCATTCCCTACATTTGCCCAACGCTCGTTTGTCTCTCCCCCTTCCTGGTCTCTCCTCCCTTTCCGTCCCTGCGTACCCCGTCCCGCAGGTCTCCCCCCCTTTCTGCTGCCTCCTCCCCACCTGCCCAGCATCCTTAACGCTCGTTCTCTCCTCTCACCTCCTCTCCTCCAGGTTCCCCATCAGGTCTCTTTCCTCCCCGGTGTCCTTTGTTTTCCCCATCTCCTCTAGTCCCGCATTTCTTCGCTTGCCTCCTCCTCACACCTCACGA